AAAAAGTTTGAACTTTTTTTGGCCTGCTTCTTGAAGAAGAGAGTTAAAGAAGCCCTTGCACAGCGATTAGTAGAGTATAACCTGCAACGCCCTCGCGTCCTCCCTGTGGTAGCCTGTCATAAGGTAGGCATTTCACAGGAAACCTCGTTCAAACCAGACCCGAGAACCTCTCACTTACTCCGTGACTTCAGTTGGCTATAGGATTTGTGGGAACTTTCGGCGTGAGCAGTGCCAGAAATGCGAAGCTGAGGACCTCCTGCAGGAGATGGAGAATGTGGGCTTACCTCGATCCTCTCCTGTTTACGCCATCGAAGAGAGCGTCATCCGGAAGTTGCTTCGACCTCCAATGCCCAACTTTTCGTTTTCGACTTAGGATTTACGGTTCTTTAGTTGTTAAGTTCTTGGGCTCTAAGATGTAACTTGTTGTTTCTTCCATGTTTTGGTGAGGAAGGGCGAGAAGCTGATATGTCCAAAGGACAACAGGCTGGGCACTTCCTACGTCGATGCGCTTGTGGATGGTGATGCCGGCCTTTCCAACTACATGCTGTCCTACAGCTGGGGCTATCCTGTCGGGGACATTGCAGATACACTCTCTGACTTCTTTGGTGAAGAGAGTCTACATGAGTTCATTTGGATATGCTGTCTGTGTATTAACCAACACCGGGCGACTCGGCTGATCTGCCGTGGCACTTTAGAAGTCTCACTTGTCACTTGTCCCTTCATCGCCAGTCACCATGGGCATCTGTCCTCGTCCTGCTGAGACTATTTGCAGTGTTCGTGTTCATGCTTGTAGTAGTATTTGTATCAGCAACATACCATCATGGTCACTGTCATGATCCGCATCCGGAGAAGCAAACTATGCACTTCAAGCTCCAAACCTTCGCGAAACTGTTGCAGCCGTGTTTTTGATATTCCCCCTGAATGCTTGTCCCGGTCATAATTCAGCCCTTGTGGTGCCCAGCTCCCTGATCAAATCCTGTCGGACCACATGAAACCACACCCAAAGACCTCACTGGTGTGCCTGTCTATGCCCGCTCCACCAAAACGCCAAGCTCAATGGCATTCAACGGCCAAGCCTTGGCTAGTTGTATCGTTGTGTGGGAGTCTGATACGAGTCCAAAATAGTAGTCCCTAAAGCCCCAAACCCCAAACCGACTTAAACCCCAATTCACTAAACCCCCTCAGCTTCGAAAGGTTCCAAAAAGGATCAAAGGATGGCCCCTACTTGGGGCCATCTGAAGCCCTCGCAGGATGTCCCGGAGGTCCAGATCCACGACAGCCTCCATCGACCTAAGTCCTTATGAGGCCAAGGTCCTCCGGATCCATCAACTTAAGTCCTCTAAGTCCTTATGAGGCTACGTCCTCTGCCTCCATCAACCTAAGTCCTTGTGAGGCTCGGTTTTCCGGATCCTCAACCTCCTTCTAGGACATGTTCAGGTGGGTAGTTGCCGTTATAGGAGCCTTATAGAAGGTCTATGTACCTTATGGGAGCCTTATGGAAGCCCTGAATACCCTAAACTCCGCACCTGCAGTTCCCTTTAACCCAACCTCCAAATGGTTTTGTGCAGTTTTGGGGGTTTCGGGGGGGGCTCCGGGCTCAAACCCCAAAAACCCCTAAACCTTAAACCCCCTAAACCCTAAGCCCCTAACCCCTAAACCCTTAAACCCAATGTCCTAGATTATTTCTAGCAAGAGGCCACAGAGAATAAAACCCCCGAGCACCTTCCAATGATGATAAGTGCAAGAAGGTTTGCGCTATTTGGGTGGTTGTCAAAATTATGGTCCTTTTTTTGGTCCTTATTATAATACGGCACCTATTATTTAGGGTACCCCAAAAGGGACCATAATTTTGACAACTACCCACATCCCAGGTGAAAGAGGCTCAGGCGGCTGGGCAAACGGTGCCGCTTCGCTGACTTCAGGGGGTTTAGGGTTTAGGGGTTTAGGGTTTAGGGTAGTTTGGGGTTTGGGGTTTAGGGTTTAGGGTTTGGGCTCTTCTTTATGGCTTGGCTAGGGCATCGTCTGAAGTTCTACGAGGAGTGCTGACATGGGGCCTCTCGAAGAATCAGCGATCCCTAATTAAAGTCTCCAACCAAAGGCTTGAATCTCAACCTCTAAAACCCAAACCTCAAACACTAAAGCCCGCAACGTGAGGTCCTTTGCAGAGTTCGAAGAGGCGTTTGGGCGTCGCGTCGAAGGCGTTGGCCACATACTTGCCATGATGAGCCCCTGGCAGGACCACGGTTGTTCCGGGCTCGCCCTAGACCCTAAAACCCTAGCATAGGGGCCTTAACAATTTGAGCAGGGTTCGGGGGTATGTTATACTATAGTTGTAAGAAGGAGCCCCCAACCCTGTTCTTACTATGAAGGCCCCTACATTGAACCCTAAATAGGGTTCGGGTGTGTGTTATACTATCATTGTAACAAGGAGCCCCCCAACCCTGTTCTTACTATGAAGGCCCCTACATTGAACCCTAAACGGTTCGGTTTGTTGTTCTGGTTGGCCTGTCAACAGGCTTAGTCCTTTGATCAAGAAGCCAATGGTTGTGCCATGTGAGGAAGGAGTTTGGGTTTACTGTAGGGCTTAGGGCAGTTGCTGTAGGATAGTAGGGATGGACTTGAGTGACTTGGATAGCTAGACTCGGAGACTCGCCGCACTTTTCACTAAGTTCTGGTCAAGGAGCGCGGGCTTAGCGAAGTCTCGATAATGGAGATAGTAACGACATGGATGTTTTTCATGCTTGTAGCTTGAAGCTGAGCATGACTTCCTGTGCAAGTATCCTGTGGACCTTCTCCTGTTCTGGTGATTTAATTCAGCTCAGTTCTTTAACAAGAACCTTGTAGATCACAAGGCAGGGTAGGAAGTCTGCACTGTTCGAGTACGGTTGCGGATAGATTTCGCTGTGTATTCTTCTTCAGAAGTTGTCAGGTGAGCTGCATCCACACTGAGCAAGCAGCACTTCTGCACTGCATAGGAATAAAAGTTGCTAGTCGCAGCCCCGCTGCGACAAAGCGCGCCGTAGGGACGATATTTCACGGTGTATACATGTACGCGTAAATTGTAAGCAGCATGGCTCGTTCCGCAGGCTCAGACAACGAGCTCTGAAAAGCCCCAACAACATGACACCATAATGTGCAACCCAGCTCTGTAGCTGCTTGGGTTCTATACTGGACTTAGCTTCGGCCCGGGTGCAGGGTGCTTCAAGGGGTACTACAAGGGTACTATAAGGATATATACCATCAGGGGTACTAGAAGGGGTACTTTAAGGGACTAATATAAGGGTCCTATAAGACGCTACTATAAGGGTACTACAAGGGGTACTATAAGGGACTCGCAGGAGCCCCGCTACATTCGACGCGTGTGGCGGGGCGCTGAGGAACGGACGTTGCGAGTCTCAGAGTCTCCGGGGGTCCTTATAACCTCGGCCTTTATCGGTGGGGCCCTATCCTCAAGGACTGCTCTTATGGAATCATTCCTTAACTAGGGGCTCCTTATTATTATAGTATTATACCATAAAGGGACCCAAAACCCTATAGAAGCCTAAATAATTTTCAACATCATGCCCCAGGGCTCCTTATTATTAGACTAAAAGGGAATCCGAACCCCTAGATTCTAATCATCAAGGCCCCTATACGGGAGTTTCCGAAAATACGGGGTCCCTCATCCTTATACTAATACTAAGGATCCTACTATTTGGGGGTACTATATTAGGGTCCCTTATTTTCGGAAACCTCCATACCCAGAGACTCCAAAACCCCTTAATTAAGGAATATACCTTAAATTATAATGGGAACCCTAATAAGATTTAAGGTATATTCCTTAATTAAGGGGTTTTGGAGTCTCTGGGTATTGGATAAGGGACAGTTCATGTTTAGAAGCCCCCTAAGTCGTCAAGTCGGCTTCAGCGTTCGGGTTGTAAATACGTCCTCTGCCACGAAAGGCTAAACAGGAGACCTTGATCCTGTAGCTTTCTGATTCAGAACCATCACTGTAACATAGAGGCCAAAAGAATTACCAATACTTTTTTTTTTTTTTGGGGGGGGGGGTCCTTGTTAGAATTCTAGTATGATGTGTTCCGTAACCCCCTATTGAAATTATTAAGGCCCCTTAAACCCTAAACCCGAAACCCCTAAACCCCGAAAAACCCTAAACCCCTAAACCCTAAACCCCTATATTAAGCTTGGGGCTGATTCATAAATCCTTGGGGCTTCGAGTTTAAGGCTCCTGGTTTATCAGGTCTCGGCCAACTCGACCTCCCCTGCCGCCCCTTAACGCCATGAGCCCAGGTTTAGGGTTTTAGGGTTTAGGTTCTAGGGCTCTAGGGTTCTAGGG